TTCGCCCCCCCCCCCCCCCCCCTCATCGTTCTACCTGCTGTGCCGATTTGCCGACGACATCATCGCCGTCAAAGCCGCCGTTCGCATCGTTCCATCACATTCGTACATACCTCGCCACCGTCAAGATCACCATCATCCTGCCGCCCGTTCCCACCCCCCTGTCAGGCTGGCCTTGAAGCCGTCCGCCTTCTCGCCCGCCCAGAAGGTCGCCGTCGGCTTCCTGCCGCTCTGCCCGGCCTGCGCGGTCTGCCCCCCCAGCTGCTTCCGGGCGTGCGACGACGCGTTTCAAGTTGGGAATGTGTACCGCATGTTTCGTTCAGTCGAATCGTCGGCTGATTCGCTCAGTCGGATCGTCGGATATCCGCAAACGATTCCGCTTCGTCGACTCGTCGGCAATCGGGAACTCAACGGGCCGGCCCCAGGGCGATATGTTCATCGATCGCATCCACCCCTCAAAACCAAGACGCGCCCCCCCCCCCACCCCCCACCGAAAGCTACATCATTCCCCCGCGCTCTCTCATTCTACGACCCTCATCGCTAACTCTACCATGCATCCCGCCCTCTATCCCCCTTCATATGTACATGCTTTTCCTCCCTCTCCGTGTCCCCCCCCCCCTAATTCTAGCCATGTCGTCGCGTCTACGTATCGTATCTCATCTACTGATCCTACGACTCACCCCTCATGTTGCCCCGATGCGCCTGGCGCCGTCCAGCGAGCACCATCTCCCCAGACGGCCTCCATCTCGTCGTCCATCGACTTCTCCCCCCTCTTCATCGGCAGGGAGCACTCCGGCGGCGAGCCCGAACACGTTGTGCACGCCGCCTGGGCGGGGCTTAGGGGGATGGCGCGCAGAGATGGGGATGCGGAGAGTTTGCGGAGATATTACGGTGAGTTTGTGGTGGGTGCGCGGTGAGTGCGCGGTGAGTTTGAGACGACTTTGCAAAGGAAGCTTAAGTTTTTGCGAGAACCTCGAGGTGAGTTTGCGGTGAGTTTGCGATGAGTTGGTGAAAGCGTTGTAGTCTCGTTGGCGCCAATGTGATGTTATTGGCGTGAGATGCGAGCACGTGCTTGTATCTCATGCCAATGACATCGCATTGAACGGCGTCGGTCGCGCGTCGCCAACAATAATGCGTCGTTCGTTGTCATGGTTTCGTTTCGTTCGGGTCGTCGTCGCCGTCGTTCGTTTCCACCGCCCCCGACCGCCCCAATGGACTCGTTCCAGCTGTAGTTCCAGCCCTTCCCGCCAGATGCTGGCGCCTGCAGAGGGCGGCACGCGCGGGTGATGAGGTGAGGGGGGGGGGGGGGGGGGGGGGGGGTGGCCAGGAGGTGAGTGAGCCGGGCCAGACCTACCGGTCTATTCACTCTATCCTGCCACATCGTTTGTCTACCTCTGCTCTTCCTCCTCCTCCTCCCCCTCCCCACCCCCCTTCCTCCTCCTCGTCCCCCCGCTCCTATTTCTTCCATGGTTTACCCCCTCTGTAATTTCGCATGTCCACCGCGCCCCCATCTCCGCTTCGACGTGCGCCTTTAACCAGCCAGGTGGAGATCCCCGAGATTTCACCTGCCCTGGATCCACATGTCGGAGCATCGTCCGTATGTTTTATGTTGCTCGTGCCCATGATTTCTTTGTGTCGGCGAGCTTCCATGTCTCCTCACGCTCATTGGCGAAACTCTCTAAGATGGCGGCGAACGGCTTCAGTGCCATTGCACCTCGCGTTGTCCCCCCCCCCCCCCCCCCCCCCCACGCACAATTCTCATGCGCAGCTCCTTCAAGAACGTCTCGTGCTTCATGAGGGCCTTTATGTTTGGCTGACTTTCCATGCCAGTTGAATGGCGCATGTCATCGGGCGCCAACGCGCACTTGTTCAATATGTCCACCGACTCACCTGGCTGGCCGAAGACGCGCGCCCGATCCCGCCCCGCGCCCCATGCCCCGCCCCTCCTGCATCAGCGCCGTCTCGCGACATAGGCAGCCCCTTCCCCCCCCTTATTCCCCCCCCCCCCCCCCTCCCCCTGAAATTATCCCCCGATCCCTGCTGACATGTCGCGCCCCAAACTAGTGCCCCCCCTGCTCGCCCCCTTCCTACCATTGGTTCCATGTGATATTTTTCGCCCTAGACTGCTCGATGCACGCATAGAATGGGGCATCCCATTCTACATATCCCACCCTTTGCCCTAAACGCCCCGCCCCTCGCATGCGAGGGGCGGGGCAGGAGAGGGGGGGAAGATGAGGGGCGCGAGGGCGGCGAGGAGGCGGAGGGAACTGGGAGGCAGGGCGAGGGGGAGGAGGAGGGGCAGAAGGCGAAGGAAGAGGAGGAGGAGGTGGAAGAGGAGAACGATGAGGAGGAGGACGAGGAGAGGTCGCCGGGCCCCTTCCCGCGGCGGCGCGGGCGCCCCGCCGCCGCCGTCGGGCTCGGCGGCCCGCGGCCGCCGAGCAGGCTCGGCGCGAGAGCTCAGAATGAGCTCCGCGTCGCGCCGCGAACGAGGAGGAGGGCGACGTCGCTCTCGTTGCCTCCTCGTCCTTCGCGGGGCCCCCACGAAGGGCGATGAGACAAGGGGGGCAGCGCAAGTAAGGCTGAAATAACAGCGAACACTGCTGAATAATGCGGGGGAATGCAACAGCGACCAATCAGATAGCATAAGAAAGAGAGAGAGAGAGAGAGAGAGAGAGAGAGAGAGAGAGAAAAAAGAAAGAAAAAAAGAAAGAGAAAGAGAGAGAGAGAGAGAGAGAGAGAGAAAGAGAGAGAGAGAGAGAGAGAGAGAGAGAGAGAGAGAGAGAGAGAGAGAGAACGCGCGCGCACATCTACGCGACATCACGTGACTATACAACGTTACGCGCAACATCATTGATAATCAATGGGAATTCATAACAATGTACATAAATCATGCTATTATTATGTTTGATTTAACTTAACATGGTTAAAAAAGAACCGTTCTTACAACAAGATCTAATAAACCTCGGGGTTTGCGGCTGCCTCTACCGGGCGCCGCCGGCGACGTCCGCCCCCGCCGCCGGCCCAGCGGCGCGAGGCGCGGCGCGGACTTGGCGGCCAACCCCGGTCGCGCGGTCGACTGCCGCGTGGGCGGCGGGGCCATCGCGCGCCACAACGGCGCGCGAGACTGGCTCGCGGGCCGGCTGCGCGCCAAAGGGGCCGCGGGGGTGGCGACCGAGCAGGCCGTCCCCGTTTGGGACAGGGCTGGGCCTGACGGCGCCGCCGCGGCCGCGCGGCTCGACGCGTCTTTCACCGGCCCGACCGCTGGCCTGGCGCGCGCCGACGTCGCCGTCGCGAACGCGGCGCTGGGCGCCCGCGCTGCGGCGGGCCGGCGCCGCGCTGCGCGCGACGGCGCGGCTGCAGCGGCCGCGGAAGAGCGCGAGCACAGGCGCTGCCCCGGCCCCGGGCTGACATCCTTCGCCCTCGAGACCCTCGGGCGGGCTGGGCTCGAAGCGCAAGCGCTGCTCCGGGCCCGGGCGAGCGGGGGCGCAGAGGCGCTCGCGGCGGCCCGGCGAAGCCTCGCCGTGGCTTTGCAGCGGGGCAACGCCGAGGCCTAGCGCGCGGCCTGCTTGCCCGCCCGAGGGCCGCCCCGCAGGGGGGCCGGGCGGCCGGGGCCGACGGCGCAGGCGCCGGGCCAGAGGCCCACCGCGCCCGGCACGCCTGAGCGACTCTGGGCCCCGGCGCGGCCTCGAGACTGATGCGCGCAACTAGATATGGTAATTGTGGGGAAGCTGTGGATCTTAACATGATCTTAACTTGATCATGTTAACTTGATATTGTGGATATTAACATGATCTTAACTTGATCCTGTTAACTTGATATTCCAGATGTTAACTTGATCTTCCAGATCTAAACCTCACCTGTCAGATCTTGCATACCTTGAACTGCACAATATGTGGAAGATACGGGAGTTAGTTTTATTCTAACGGTTTTTACAGCGTGTAAATCACGGTGAAGTTAGTTTCTGATGTGGTTCTAAATGTGGAAGTTGCGTTCTAGATATTTTATGTTGTTCATTACATTTCATTTTTCTATAAAAAAAACACGCGCTGTGAAAATCGATGTTCTACAAGTCCTTCAAATAAAAAATGCGCCATGCCCCCCCCCCCCCCCCCGCGCCCACGCGCCGCCGCCGCCACCGCCGCGCTGCGTTGTTTTTCCCCCGAGCGCTTTGCGCGGCCAGCGTTTCACGCTTTGCGCTGCTCCGCTTTGCGCTGCCCCTTTTCCCCCCAGCGCTTGCGCAGTCGCCCCGCCAGCACTTGTGGCGCTATCCAGCGCTTTGCGCTGCTCCTCCACCCTCCAGCGCTTTGCGCTGCTCCTCCCCTCAGCGCTTGGGCTGTTCCCCCGCCAGCGCTTTGCGCTGGCCCCCCCCCACAGCCGCTATTTTTTGTTTTTGCGCCCCCCCCCCCCCCCCCCCCCCCCCCCCTCCAGCGCTTGGCGCTGCCCCCCCCCCCCCCCTCCAGCGCTTGGCGCTGCCCCATCCCCCCTTCCAGCGCTTGCGCTTTCCCCCCGCCGGCGCATGCGCTGCCCCTCCCTTCCCCAGCGTTTTGCGCTGCTTCTCCCGCCATCCAGCGCTTTGCGCTGCCCCTCCCCCCGCCTGCGCTTGCGCTGTTCCCCCGCCAGCGCTTGCGCTGCCCCTCCCTCCCCCAGCGCTTTGCGCTGCTCCTCCAGCGTTTGGGCTGTTCCCCCCCCGCCCAGCGCTTGCGCTGCTCCTGCCGCATTCAGAGCCTCGCGCTGTTCCCGTCCGCAGCCGTTTCCCGGCTCAAACGCGCGCGCTCCAACGCCGCGCGAAAGGCGCGGCGGCGCGGCCCTCCAGCGCCGCAGCGCTTGCGCTCCAACGGCATGGCGCCGAAGGGATATCGCCGTCGCTCTCGATTGAGGCCCCGTCCCCCCCCTCCTCGCCCCCCCCCCGCGCCCCCCCCCCCCCCCCGAGAGCTCGTCAGGGGCGAGATGCGCTGCGCAAGCTCCTCCATCGCGGACGCGCGACGCGGGAGGGGCTCGCGAAGATGCCGAAGGCGATTTGCGAGGCGGCGGCGGGCTCGCCCGCCAATCCTAAGATAACGAGGTACGAGATCAACAAGGCGAACCATGAACGATTCGAGCGCGCCCGCCACGAGTTGAACGCGCCGCTGGTGAGCGGCGGAAGCTGGAACTGGCCCCTGGAGGATCCCAACAGGCTACCCTCCATGATAGTATCAGAGAGCGGAGCGCTGCGAGAATTGCTCGCCGCCGCGCAGCAGCGACGCGGTGATCCGAGCCAGGGGCGCCCGTGGACACTGGTTATCGTGCGCGATGAGTTCAGCCCTGGCGGCGTGTTCTGCGTCAGCGACGGCAGGAAGGGCGTGAATTTTTCGCTCGCGTTCCTGGAGCTTGGGGCGCGCAGCATTCGCAGTGACAGCGCGTGGTTCACACACGTGGACGTTCGCCACAGCTGGTTCAAGCAGGTCCAGGGCGGCTGGGGCGCCATGTTCGGCAAGTGCCTGAAGCTGCACCTGCTGTCTCCGACTGGCCTTGCGACGGCAGGCGCCCCTATTGCTGTCTTCGGCACGGACATTCTCATCTTCGCACGCGTCGGGTTCATGATCGCCGATCTCGATAACCACCGCATGTCGTTGAACAGCAACGGTGCCAACGGCTTCAGGCCGCGCTTGCGACGTTGCAACGTGCTCAAGAAAAGCTCAGGCACGGCCGAGTTGGACCCAGCAAGATTCGTTGAGATTTCTTGTGCAGATCCGACGCGGTTCCGACTGCGCACCAGCGCAGATGCGTTCGCTGCTGCTGATTTTGTCAGCGCGGCGCACGCCCGGTGGACTGCAGGGGCAATGGCAAAGGACCGCTTCGAGACACTGCAAATGATGCGCGGGCTCAAGTTCGCGCCACACGGCATCCTGCTGGACCCTGAATTGCGCCACCATGTGGACGTAGTGGACAGCGCCGTCATCGATTGGGTCCACGCGGCATTGAAGGATGGAGCATTCACTACAGAAGTTATCTTGCTGGCGCAGGCGTGCGGGGATGAGCTGGGCGTCAAATTCGAGAATCTCCGAGAGCACATGAAGGGCGGGTGGCTGCAGCCTGCGCGCGGGAGAGCGAAGTCGAAAGAGTTGCACAAGATATTCGACGAGTGCCGTTCCCCGAAGGAGGACAAGATGCGGGCCTCTGCGTCAGAGCTCCATGGCATGCATGCGCTTCTCAGGCTAACTGCTCCTCCGCCTCCCCTCTCCTCCTCTCCCCTCCTCCCCCCCTCCTCCTCCTCCTCCTCTCTCCTCCTCTCTCCTCATCTCTCCTCCTCCTTCTCCTCCCCGCCACCCTCCTAGGCGCATCGTGGAGCTGCGCCTTCTCGGCGCGGCGCTCGACAAGCAGGCGGCCTCGTTCCAGGCTGCGTGCGCGACGCTGGACATGATATGCGCGGTAAAGCAGGGGAGCGTGGGCTCGCGCGAAGGGGCGGCGCAGTTGCGGCGAGTCCGCGCCGAGCACCTTCGACTGCATAGAGAAGCGTGCGGCACAGCGAACACCCTGCCGAAGCACCACATGATGTTTGACGCGGCCGACCAGTGGCAGCGCGAAGGGGGGGGGGGGCAGCGCCGCTGTGATAGATGCATTTGTGGCCGGGCGGTTGCACATCAGGATGAAGTATTGCATGGGCCCGGCCGACAACACCAGGAACTTTGAAGTGTCATGCATGGCGTCTGTGATTAAAGTCCACCTGATGGCCTTGGAGGACCGCGCGTTCGGCGATGGCCCCCCGGGGAAGACGTCGTTTCTTGATGGGGCGCGGGTGCCAATAACAGATCGAATGTCTGTCTCTGGCCTTGCCATCGAGGTCGGTGACGTCGTTCTGCTCGAAGGAGTTGCTGGCAGAGTGCGCGTTTGCGCCGTTGCTGACGGCAAACACCCGGCATTGGTGGAGACGTTCGAGCACGCGGTCAGGCTGTCAGCGCGCTCCGACCGATGGAAGGTTGGAGGCGCCAACCAGGCAGGCGTGGCGCGCGGGCGCCGTGCTCTCGGCGCCTGCGCGGTACATGTGCGGCGATGACGTCGCAGTGTTGCGATTGGCATAGCGCCATGCTCTGAAAAAAAAAAGCGCCCTTCCCCCATGCTGCTATCTTAACGCTGCGCGCTCCATCCAGCCCTCGCGCTGTCGATCGATCTCGCTGTTGTTCCCGCCTTTTCCAAGCGCAAGCGCTCTTCCCCCCCCCCCCCCCCTCTTCCGCTAGTTCAGCCTACCCGCCGCCCTTCATAGCGCATGCGCTGCCGCAACCATTTGAAATATCTGGCCCTTGATGATTTGGCATCAACACGGGAAACCCAGGGTTCGCAACTTCGGGCCAAGGGATCCGCGGGAGAATGAGGAGGATGACTAGGAGGAGGACAAGGAGGAATATTGGTGTTTAGTCATCGCGCATGCGCTCGAGCCCAGGCCGCCCACGCAACGCTTGCCGCTCAATCCGATTCAATCCGAATCGCTGAGTCCGCCTCCGAGGACGTAGAGGCGTGAACAACGCCCCCGAAATCGGCAATCAAGCGGTTCGTCTCAAGGAGATCCGACCTCGCCGACTCGAATACCGACGCTGCTGTCTCCATCTTCTGACTGCACCCCTGGACCTGACGACGGAGGCCCACGTGATCCGCAGGGCCCCACTCGCGCATGGCGCCCTGCATCTTGACCAGGCACGTATGCGCGGAGCGCAAGTAGCCCGCTGTCGTGCAGGTCATCTCGTCGTCGCCTGTGCCGCTCTCAAGGAACTCGGGCCCGCCGCCGCGGCTGCGGCTGCGACTCCTGCTGGGGCTGCTCTCATCGGACCCGCCGCCGCGGCTGCGGCTGCGACCCCTGCTGCCCGCCTTCGGCTTCTCGTTTTTGGCGGAGGCCGCCATCGAGGAGGCCGCCGAGCCACGGAGGTGGCCAGAACGACGAGGTCAGAGCCAAAACGGCTATGGTCACTACCCTCGGAGAAGGTCACCCACTCGAGCCCCTGGCGCGCGCGCGTTTCCACTTATGGTGAAGAACGCCCGGGGCGTCCGAAAAGGCCTTGCCAAACTTGAACCGCAATGCAAACAAACGTTGGGAAACGGACGATGGGGCCCGCAGCGCGCCAAACAGCGCGCTTGCGAAACATAGATTTCATCAGCGTGAGCGCTTGTAAGTGAACAGCGAAGAAACAGCGCAGAGCGCTGGAAGGGGGGCGGTGATCAAAGGAGCGCTTTGCGCTGCGATTGACACATGGGTGGACATGCATACATGCATGCATGCATACATACATACCTATATATATATATAGCGCATGCGCTTGATTGCTCAGCGCGCGCTTTTGGACGTTCTCCTTGTTCCCCCATGCAGCGCTTAAGCGCTTGGGCGTGCTTCAGCTGGCTCGATTGTAGTTCGCCCAATATCAAGCCCGCGCAGCTCAGCAACCATCCCAACAGCCTGTCGATGCCCGAAGACTGCACCAGCTTGCCCGACTGCATCAAGTGGTCCACTGCTGCGGCTGCCTGAACTGCACGTTCAGGGGGGCCGCGCGCTTCTTTGTCTGGCTGCATCCTCGGGTGGAGCGCCAACCGCATCCCATCCCGGCGCGCCCTGGCCCCACCCTCACCCTCTCCTCTAGGGGAGGAAGGGGCGGGGAAGGGGGGGGGGGAAGGGGTGAAGATTGCGCTTGCGCCTCGGTCCTTGAGCTCAGGCATGTCGCTCTTCAGCGACAGCTTCGCCCTTGGCGCCTTGATCTGCATGGCCTCGATCTCGCTCTTCTTGTCTTCGGCTTGACTTACGAGCCGCTGGGCCGGCCTCCTGTTCGCAGGGTTTGCGAGCACATCCTGCAGCGACTTCAGCGCTGGGTCCAGCTTGGTGTAAAGTTTCTCGCTTGTTTCTTTTATGTCTTGAGCTTGTTCTCCTCTTTTTGGGCCTTCTCCTTTTTCGCCTTATCTCTTTTGGTATTCTTCTTCGCTTCCTTATTTGCCTTATTCGTCTTATGTTTCTTCTTCTTGGCCGTCTTAACTTCCTGCCCGAATCTGGTGAGGAAGAGCTCGAGCTCGAATCGTCATCGCTATTCCCGTCCGTCCCGCCAAGCTCTTCTGGCGCTTCTGGCTCTTCTGGCTATTCGGGGATATTGGCGAGCGGCTTGAACCTCTTTGCCCGATCGACAGCTCGCCCCTGGGTGCAGGATTCCTCCCTCTGCCCTTTCTGCCCGCGCTTGCCTGTGGTCGCCGGGCGAAACCTGTAGCAAAATCCGAGGACGTCGTGGTGCTGCTTATCAGACTCCCTTGATTTCGCATGGATGGCATCCGTGTCGTAACCCTGCTGCTTCCAATAGCCCAGCGGCTGAAACGTGCCACCGTTCCCGAAGTACTCTTCGGCCACCTCGAACTTCGAAATAAACGCTTGAGCAACATTTTTTTTACATCCGCCTGAGCCCCCCCAGCCATGTCTTGGGAAAACTGCGCCGCATGGGGCGAATTGTCGTTGAAGCATGTCGGGATCTTCCCAGCGGCTCGGCTAAGCTTCACTCCTGTGGTGTTGCACAGGTCGCATTTGAACGCGCCTTGCCCTCCGCCCCTGATAATGGCCCTGCTGCGCTGTGCTGGGAGCCGCATTTTTGGCAAAACACCACTGTAGTCTTGATGTCGTCGTCATGTTTTGGCCAAAGTGAGACCTCGATGTTATCGTCGTGCTTGCCCTTTCCCTTGCCCTTGCCCTCGGGCGCATCGGGCTCCGTAGCCGCAGGTGCCATTTCTGTATCGGTCGCATCGTTGCCCTTGTCCTTGTTATTGCCTCTGCCTTTGCCGCCGCGGCCCCATACCCTTGCCCTTGCCCTTGCCCTCGCCCTTGCCGGTATCGCCTGCGTATTCTGGCTCCGCGGGTTCCGCTGGCTCAGCGGGCTCCGCGGGCCTTTGAAACGCACTATGCTGAGCAGTTGCCTCCTCGTCTGATGACGCGCAGTCCAGCGCGCGGCCGCCAAGGAGCCCCCCTTCCCTCTGCAGCAAGTCGTGGGCGTCCAGCTTACGCTGCGGGCACTGCACCTCCTCGGGCGTTGCGAAGTTCCCGGCCTCCTGGTATTTCTCGACGCAGTACTTGTGGAACTCGTGAGTGCATCCGAGATAGATGCTCTCGTCGGTGACGTCCTCGAAGCCCGCCTGGCAGATGACGCAGATTGCACGCCATTGCTGAGAGCGCGCTGCGCCACCCCAAAGCCGCCAGTAGCGGCCGTTGAGCCGACGCGGCTGCAGCGACAGCGCATTGCGCTCACCCTCACTAAGCGCATTGCGCTGTATCCTCATATACATACAGACACTTAGAACGCATTGCGCTGCCTTTAGAGCGCATTGCGCTGTGTTCTCACGGGGAACCATTTTCCTAGCGACGAGAGCGCCATGTAAATCGCGCTGCCACCCCGCGCGGACCGTGCCCTGAGTTCGCCGCGGTCCCCACCTAGGCCAGTAAAGTGTCAGTCCAGTAGGCCAAGGGCTTTCTCTGGGCAGTGGCCCAAATTTATGTGACCAAATACTGCGTACCCAAACCGACTGCACCATCTACACACATCAGGTTGGCTGGATTGATCGCCGAGCATCGAGAAGACGCTATAACCAATGGGCTCGCTGTCGTAACACAACTTGCACTGGCAACCGTCCATGAATGACTCGATATTGTGCTCCGCTCGCTTCCTCGGCGACTCCACGGGATCGAACTTCTGCTTGCGCATCATGCGCATGTACATGTAGGTATTCGTCGTCGGCTTCCACGGCTTACCACCTTCTCTCAAAGACTTCTCGACGAATTGAATGCTGATCTTGTGGTTGAAATGCACGTGGCCAAATTTGAACGTCTCCGTTGAACCGATCTCCCAATGCTCGGACTCGGAACAATCGGAGCAAATATCCGAAGTCGGCGTCCGCAACTTGGCCGCCGGTGCTTCCCAGGCCTTCTGCAGCAAAGAGTCCCCCGCGTTCGACCGCGTGTCCAACTCCATGGGCGCAATGCCTGAGGACAGCAGCTGCGACATCCTGTCGCGGTAGCTGGGAGCGCGCTGCGCTATCCCAAAGCCGCCAGTAGCGGCCATTGAGCCGACGCGGTTGCAGCGACAGCGCATTGCGCTCACCCCCACTAAGCGCGTGCGCTGTATTCTCATTGGTTTGCCTGTAACGCGCATCGCGCTATATTCCCATTGGTTGCTTCTTCATGCATCACACCTGCATGCTTCGAGAACGGAACCACCCCCGCGGAATCCCCGAAGTAGTTGCTCGATTGTCCGTGACACTGGGCGGCCACCACCAGACTGTGAAACGGTGAGGCCTGCAGTAATTTTCTAGTCATGTCCTTATATTTATGCACGCCATCAGAGAGGAACGCACTGGCCTGGAGCTCCCCCCCCCCCGCCGTTCTTATTTACTGTCCGTGCCCATCTGGGCCCGAATGCGCACCGAGCGACCCGACGCTCGCCCCCCCCCCCCCGACGCTCGGCCCGGCGCCCATGCCCAACGGCAGCCCGACCAGGGAGGACGCGGGCCTCGACGAGAAGATGAAGGGCGCCACCCACCAGAAAACACTCTACGAGCACAAGCGTTGGACAACGACTTGCACGGACGATGGTTGGCCAGGGGCGTTGGTCGCCCTCGAGTGGAACGTGGATGTGGATGTGAACGCCGCCACATAACACTCGATATCAATGCTATCGAAATGTTATCGAGGTGTTATCGAGGTGTTATCGACCGCTATCGAGTGTTATCGAGCTCGGTAACACTCGATAACATCTCGATAACGATGTTATCGAGTGTGACCGAGCTCGATACACCCGGTAACAATGTTATCGGCATGATATCGAGATGTTACCGAGGTGTTACCGCATGTTATCGAGTGTTAGCGAGCTCGATAACACTCGATGACACTGGATACCACTCGACAACACCTCGATGACATGCCGATAATAGTGCTATCGAGTGCTATCGAGGTGCCATCGGGGTGGCAACGAGGTGTTATCGGGCGGTCGCGCTTTCGTTGGTTTAGCGTCCAAGCTGTCGCTGAGCTGTCGCTGCGCTGCCGCTGCGCTGCCGTAGAAGCGCGCGAGCGCTCATGCCACGCGGCCGTCGCATCAGAGGGCGCTGCTGCGCAGCTGTCGCATCAGAGGCCCCGTGGGAGGCCGTCCGCGAAATGCTGCATGGCTCGTTTAACGACGTCTCTCGAAGCGCAACCGACATTGCACTCGGCCCTGAACGTGTTCGCGATTCCCTCGGCTGCCATCTGGCAGCGCTGACGCGCCTCGGCCGCCCGGTCCATGCTTCCACGCGGCGCAAGCAGCATGTTCATCTCCACCTTGGCCGCATCCCTCAGCCCCCGAGCACCGATGCTGGGTTGCAGCGCCCCGTCATCTCGGCCGACCTGCAGGCTCGGAACGGAGTTGCGTCTCATTGTCCTGACGGCACTGGCTATCTCACCGACCGCAGAGGTCAGCCGCTGGATCTGATCGTTCATCTCATCATTACCCGTGCTCTTGTCATTGTCCCTGTAGCCCTTGCCGAAGCCTTTGTCCTCACCCTTGTCCTTGTCCTTGCCCCCGCCCCGAACGCCTTGGGGATGATCGCTGGCCATGCTGTTTGACCTGCTCCGACATGGGGACCTGGGGATCTGCTGCCCCGCGCGCCCTGGGGACCTGCTTCTTGACGGCGGGGGCAAGTCTGGCGGCCTTGGGACAGGGCTGGCCTTCACGCACTGCTCCCTGTACGCCTCTCTTCCATTGTAATTCTCCAACTCCATATCTGGCCCCACCTCATCCACGACCTGGCTCGCCAATTCGTCGGGCATGCCATGGAGAATACTGTGCACCAAGTGATGCTTGACGTAGCGCAGCACCTGATCTCGACTCTCGCATGACCGAGCTTTCACCTTGCTCCACGAAGCTGCCTTGCATTCATCAGGCCTCGGGCATGCCGCGGCTCCCCACCAAGGACGCGCGTTCCCAGCGTCGTCGTCTTCACGGTTCAACCAGGGATTCTCAGCATTCTTCTCGGGGAACAGATCACGGGCCATGGCGCCTGCTGCCGCGGTCGCCTCGGCTGCCGCTCCAGAGGAGCAAACTTCTGCCCATGCGGGCGGGTTGATTGAAGCCTTCAAACGGCTAAAGCGCAAAGCGCTTCTGGAGGCGCAGCGTAAATCGCTTTGGGCGGCACAAGTTGTTTTGGGTAGGCGGCAATATATTCGGCGCAACTATGTATCATGTGGTAAATTATTCGCTGGCAACATACTACATATGCAGCACGGAGCGCTGTCTGGTCTAAATTGTAACCACCGTCTAACGCACAAGCTGTTTCAGTCCCTGCCCCGCAAGCACACTGCGCTGCCGCAGGACTAGGCCACCCCCAAGCGCACTAACCCCCGATCGCACTGCGTTGCCACAAGGCTAGGCCACCCTCTCAAGCGCACTGCGCTGTCCAGAAAGGCCATGGGCCACCCCAAAGCGCACTGCGCTCGCTGCGCAACAAGCACTGTCACCACGCGCGCACGCGCTGTTATATTCTTTCCGTGTAGCCATTTTGGTGCAAGGATCGCAGCGCGCTGCGCTTCGTTGCAATATCTATCGTTCGTCCTTTTCATATCGCTTGGCGGATGGCCGATGCCGCTGATCAGCGTAGGGCTCGACTCGCTGCGAAGGTCGCTGCGCAGATGCAGACCATCGAGGAGCTGGAGGCCGCGATCAGAGGGCAGGGGCGCATGATCAGTCGCATCGCGGACATGGCCGGGGGGCATAGGGCCGCGGAACGGCGCCGGGCAGAGGTGCGCGAGCATTCGCGGCAGCGGGCAGAGGTCAACGCTCTGCAGCAGGAGCGGCAGAGGCAGGGGGCGCGGAGGCATGAGTACCTGAGGATGAGGGTGGCTGAGCAGAGGCAATGGGCCGCAGAGGCGCGCGAGGGGAGCGAGGCGCTCAATCAGGCGACTGCTGCGGGCGATGGCGACCGTCGGGGAGATGGCGACTGTCTAGGAGATGGCCGTCGCGGCGGCGCCGATGACCGATGGCGACGCAAAGTCGACGAGGGCGAGGGCGACGGCGGCGACGCAAACTCGACGAGGACGGCGACGACAGCGACGACGACGACGCTGAATGTTGCAGCTTGAATGTTCTGTATCTAGTGCCGTGGCCTCCCAAGCGGACGGCTGTCGGTTGCGTCGCGGCACAGAACTCGCGGCCCCGTCGCGGCTAGGGGCGCCTCGTTGGAGCACAGCGCTATGCGCTTGAAAAACATAATATCTGACGCAGCGCTATGCGCTCTGAATGCACAGCGCTATGCGCTTCAAATGTATGGTCTGGAATCTGGAGTGCGGGCGCAGCGCCATGCGCTTAAAATGCATCATCTGACGTGGCGCTATGCGCTTAATCTGTGCAGCGCCATGCGTTTCAAACGCACGCTCTGGAATCTGGGGATCGGGCGCAGCGCTATGTGCTTAATCTGTATAGACTGAAATCTGGGGCAGTGCGACAGCGCAGCGCGCTTGATTGTTTTTTTTTTTTTCACAGCGGTACTGCGCTAACGGCCCGATTCGCGGGCAAGAGTAACGGCCCGATTCGCGAGCAAGAGCGATTATACAGTGCATCAGGCGGCTGCTCTGCTTCTTCCAGCTGGTCTTCCGGCCCCTCGCTTTGCCGCCATTCTCCTCCTGCCACTCTCTCCACTTGGCGTTCCACTCGGTCTCTCCATCCGACTGCACAGGGCCCTCGGCGCGGCCAGCGCCGCTCGATGCCGCCGTCGCCACATTGCTGTCCAGCTTGGGCTTTTCAAGCTTTGCGAGGGCGGGCACCGGCTTGTCCATGACGGACTCCAGCTTCTCCAGCTTTTCATTCTTCTTCTTCAAAACCTGATCCATCTTCACCTCCAGCTCGTCCAGTTTTGCAGTCTTCTGCGAGACCTGGTCAAATTTCCTATCCAGCTCTCGCACGAGTGCCGTCTGGGCCCCGATCCGGGGGCCATTCAAAGCCTCGTCCGTCCACCTTCTTCAGCACGAGCTCCGTCTGCGCCTCGTTCTGGGTGAAACTGGCGAGTGAGCTCCTCATGGCGTCACCATTCTGCTCAACCGTCGTGCTCACAACGCACATGAGGTCCATGCTGTCGACCGGCCCAGCCGCCGTCGCCGCGTTCAAGCCAAATGGCGCCCCCGATGGGGCGCCTCGCACGCCCCCCCCCCCCCCCCCTGCTGCGGCATTATATCTGGGCCGTGCACCTCCTGATGGCGACCCCGAGGAAAGGGCGGCCGCTGCGAGCCCCCCGCGTCTTTGCGCCGCCTCTGCGGGGGCGTTGGCCGTTGGGGCCGCTTCCGCCGCCGCCCCCGCTGCCGCCGCCCCCGCCCCCGCCGCCCCTGCTGCCGCCGCCGCCGCCGCCGCGTTTGCTGGCGCCTCCTCCATCGGCGCTGCGCCACCCCACCCAGCGCCGCCGAGACCATCATCTTCGGGAGAGGTCGGCCCCCAGACTTGTCGGACCTCACCGCCTTCTCGATCTTGATATTGTATAGTATCAGCCTTCTGGCTGTTTTCTGGGCACTGCCACTCGGATTTTTTCCACGCGTTGCTTCGGTGCTCAGCAGAATCCAAGTGCTCCTTGGTAGCCGTCTTCAATCTGCCGTTCTCCCACGTGCACAGCGCGCGCGTCCACTGCGCCGAAACAGAACCTGAGCTGGTCGTGTACTTGCGCCACGGCGCGCCTCGCTTCGAACCATTTTTGAATGCCAATATACGAGGGCAGTCCGCCTCCGATACCTCGTAGCACTCCCCGCCCCATCTCTGAGCTCCAGTCGGGTCACTAGCGGCAGCGGCCACCATCGCTGGCTGGTTCTGCTTCGCTTGGCGAATCTTCGCGGCTCCAAATGCTCGAGCCCAGGTTGCCGAAGGGAGCGCGGGGAGGTCCATGTATGAATCAGCTCAGCCTGGGCCCTTTTCAAGGCGGTGGTTCGGGGGGGGGGGAGATCATCATCATCGTCATCACCATCGTCATCATTATCGCTATCATCATCATCACCATCACCGCCACTCATTCATTCACTCACTACACAGCCATGAGTGCATTGCGAGGATGTCTCAGGCGGGAGCCCCCTCCCTATGGGACACGCGGGTCATGTTATTAATATCGCGAATTATCATTGCAAGCGCAGTGCGCTGCCCCTACTCGCGGGCGACATTGCATTTATTCCGCGGCCGTCGCGCTTGGCTCAGCCCGTCGTCCGCGATTGGCTCAGCACGCGGCCTCGGCGGCGACCTTCGCTGCAGCGATGGAGATTCTCACGGCCCGTTCTGGCCAAGCTGAAAAAAGCTGGCAGCGCTGATGTCATCGCTCGGCGGCTTATCCACCTCTATCGCGGGCCCCGAAGCAGGGGAAGGCCCCCCGCCCCTACCGAGGCCGGCGGGCGCCCCCATGGCGTTCGGACCAGAAGCCTGCAGAACAGGAAAGCGAAGAATTCGATGGCGAACGATGCACTGCACAAAATCGACGCCATGATGTCGACGCGGGGAGAATTCACGACTCGAGCCAATCAGCTGAAGGAGAAGGAGATGAAGCAGCAGGAACTTGCGCCTACAACCCTGCAGCAGAAGCCGGTCGAGTCACTGGCCAGCCACGTGCCAGAGGAAAAGGCTGCGCACGCATGGCAGGGGCCGTTGAAGCAGGACCAGGTCCCGGAGCAGAAGTGGGTCCACGAGGGCCAGGCGCACCACTGTGAACAGTGGGCGCAGGACGACGAGGCGCAGGACTTGAAGTGGGACGAGCGGTGGGGCGAGGCGCAGGACGAGCGGGGCGAGCAGTGGGGCGAGGCGCAGGACGAGAAGTGCGACGAGCAGCGGGGCAAGGCGCAGGACGAGAAGTGGGGCGAGGCGCAGGACCAGAAGTGGGACGAGGCGCAGGGCGAGAAGTGAAAGCAGCAGCGTCAACAGCGGCGGCGCGAGGCGGTGGGCCAGCGCCAGCAGGTTGAGAAGCAGAAGTGGCTCGCGGACGAGAAGAAGCAGTGGCTCAGCTCGAAGTGGGGCGAGGCGCAGCAGGCGCAGAAGCAGAAGTGGCCCGCAGACGAGTGGAAGCACAATCAGCAGTGGCTCAGCTCGGGGTGGGATCAAGAGCAGCAGGCGCAGGAGGCGAATCGGCCCGCGGACCGCGCGGAGAGCGAGTGGAAGTAGCATGCCGATGAGCACATGCAGGGGTCCGTGGACAAGGTCCAGTACTATGCCTGCGACACAGGAGAGAGCATATGGCAAGCCAGGCCGCCAACTGCGAATGTATCCGAGTGGCAGCGCTGGCATCAGGAGCAGGCAAAGGTGTTCGAGGCTGCAGCCAAATTGCATCAGCACCAGGCCTGGCAAGCGACAGAGCAGTCCGACGCGGAGTGGGTGAGACAATGGGCTCCCCCAGACCAGTGGGAGATGATGCAGGAAGGAGCTCGTAGGGGCGATGCCGAGACATGGGCGCATGCGTATCAGCTGATGCGTAGGTGATGGGCGACGTCTTCGGAGGAAGGTCACCTGGCCGCACAGCTGCCGATGATGCCACCACAATACTGCGGAGAAGAAGGGGGCGGGGGGGGCGGCGGAGGAGGCGATGGTGGAGAACAAGTCCAATAACCACGTCAGAAGAGGCAGAGGCAGCAGCGCGGTGGCAAGTTCAAGGATTGGCGAAGTGCCATGCCTGCCGCGGCGCGACAAGGATGCTTGACTCAGTTCCTGGCAGAGAACCCCGACCCGCGGAGGCGCGGCTAGATGAGGCGCAGCCGTAGGCCTGCCAATGACTTAGCGCGTGCGCTGTATATATACTGCTTAGCGTCTGCGCTTCAATGCGCTTGCTGCGCTGCGCTGTAAGAGCGCAGAAGAGCGGCATGGCCTTCCCAGCGCTTTGCGCTGTAACACTAACCTCATCCATCCCGAGCGCACTGAGCTATACTCCGAAGCTCATGGCACCTGACGGCGGCGACGAGGAAAGGGGCGCGGAGGAGCTGGAGCTCGGAGGACAGCGCAACGCGTTCGGGATCAGAGAATCGGATACGAAGAGCCCAGGCTATGCGCTAAACGCTAAGCGCCAAGCGCTACGGGGAGGCGGGATGAATCATTTTCCCTGCTGGCGAAAAGCAGCGCTAACGCTATGCCTGCGCGGCGCGGCGCAGGCCGCCGGCGGCCCGAACGCTCCTCCAGCGTCGATGAATGTCCGCATCACTTGCACCCGTCTGAGACCCATTTCCTCGCCGCCGGCATCCCCGCGGCCATCGTCTTGAACTTGCGGCCCCCCGCTTCTCCCCATCGGAAGCCCTTGTACAACGTCCCGCCGCTCTTTTTCGGGATCCGCACTTGCGCGTTCTCGCGCGAGCGCTCCGCGTCGTACCGCGCCGCGCTGGTCTCCAGACTCGGCTTTGCAGGCGCGCGGTGCTTGGGCGACTTGGCAGGCGCGCGCGTGTTCTTCTTACTCTTCGCGGACTCCCCTGGACTTGCGACCGTATCCTCCGACGCCACTTCAGTCTTCGGGGCGCTTCCAATCGCTGCATCCGCCTTCCTCTTCGCAGTCGCCTTCTCCTCCGTCTGCACCTTCGCCCTCGCCGTCAGCTTCGCCTTCGGCTGCCCGTCCATCTTCGCGACCGCCGTCGCCTCCTCCGCCCTGGCCTTCGCCGCCGCCCCCCCTCCTCCACATTCGCCCTCGCCTTCGCGAGCTTGGCCCCCAGCTTCTTCTTCGGGCCCCTCTCGTCCATGAGCTCCAGAAGATCAATCGCAGAAGGCGCGGGCGCTGGCGCAGAAGCCGCAGAGGGCGGCGCAGGCTCTTCAGCGGCCACAAGCGGCGGCGCAGGCGCAGCCGCAGGCGGTGGCGCAAGCGCAGCTGCATCAGCGCCCCTGCCTCCCTCATCGGCGCCAGCGTCAGCTAGGGCGAAGAACTCATCACTGCGAGGCCGCGCTGCGCTGAATTGCGCGCGCCCGCCGTCGATCCGAAGACGGCGTTGGCCGCGCATGGCGCCTTCGAAAAGCAACCCGCAGCGTCTGCCGTCGAAGGGCGGCGCCGCCCACCCCCCCCCCCCCCTAACCGTCATTGCATCCAGTAGGCGGTCTTGTCGATCATATTGCCGCTGGAGCCCCTGCGAGAAGCTTTGCGCCACGTTCTGCAACTGGCGGTCCAGGGCGCCGCCGGGAAAGTGCAACGTTGGCACGTCAAGTGCTGTCGCCCCGTTGCCTCTAGAACTGAGTATAGTGGCCATCGCTTCGATCATCGCAGTATCGATGTTGCTCGAAACTGGAAGCGCCCCGTCGGCGCGGGCTCGGGCGAAGATCGCGCGGCGCTTCTCCTTGCGCGGTGATGGGGGCGGCGGCGGCGCCTCGATGATCTCGGCGGGGGTCTGCAATTTCCGCGCCCGTGCTTTCCAGGCACTCTTGAGTGCGTCAAACGTCTGGATCTTCTTCGCCTGGGTGATGTGCGCGTTCATGTCTTCTGTCTGCAGGATCAGGCATGCCGACAGCATGCGCCTCGCATCCTCCGATGGTGCCCTCGCCCAAGGCCACCGCGCGGTTGAAGGGGGCCCCCCTGACTCTGACTTCTAGCGGCCGCCCCCGCTGGATCGGCATGGCGCCCCGCTCGGCCTCTGTGAATTAACCGAAAACCGCCCTGCAATCCTGCGTCGAATTCCGTTTCTTCTTCTCCTTCTTCTTGGCGGCGGCGTTCAGCGACTCGACCGCTGCGGCCAAATCGCTCGCAGCGAAGCCCACTTGCGCTGCTGGCGCCAGCAGGTCTGACGCCCCAATCGAACTCAGGGCGGCCGTCGCCCTGCTCACAGACGATCTGAACGCGTTCGCCCGGACCTCAGAAGTGGCGGCGTGCAAACTCGCTGGGGCCCGCTGCAGGAGCACCTGTGCCACCCCAAGGCGGGCCCGCAGATCCTCGTTCAGATCCCCCATGGCCTCGCGGCCCTCGGCCTGGCACTGCGGGCCGCGGGCGCCGCCCAAAACGGGCCGCGCGGCTGCGCGCGCGCGCTCGAGCCAAAACGGCGGCAGTGCGCGCGACAGCGCTTTGCGCTCAGGAGCGGACAGCGCCACGCGCTCGCGGGGGCGAGGAGGAGGAAGAGGAGCAAGAGGGGGAGGAGGGGGCGGAGGAGGAGGAGGAGGAGGAGGAGGAGGAGAAGAGGACAGCGATATGGCGCTTATGCGTGGGGACATGCGTGAGAAACAGAACTGGAGCGCAACGCGCTCAATTGAAGTGGAGCGCGACGCGCTTGAAATCCAGAATGGAGCGCAGCGCGCTGTTATACTGGAGCGCAAAGCGCTTGATTGAACTGAATACATGAAAACGCGAAGCGCATGATTGAATTCAAACTGGAGCGCAATGCGCTTGGTTGGAAGGGGCGCGAAACGCATGCAGCGCAACGCGCTTGGCAAGCGCTGGCATCGCACAGCGCTGGGCAACAACATCAGCAACAAAAACGCTATGGGGGGCAGACATAACGCAACAACATAGACAAACGTGGTTGACCAGAAAATTAAAAGCTACATTCGCATAGCGTTTTTTTGTAGGTTGTAAAATTATAGGAACCAGAGTGGTTGAAGATAAGGGAAAGTTAAGGGATAGAGTGGTTGAAGATAGGGGGAAGTTTTTTTTTATAAAAAAAAATGAAACAACTCTCTTCCACAATTTCAACCTAACTTACACAATTTCCACAACCTCCACATACTAGTTGTGCACATCGCAGGAGAGCAGCCTGCCCACCGCCTCCTCCGCCCTCTTCCCCTCCCCTTCCCTTTTCCTCTCCCGCTCCTTGCCTCTGGCGGTCGCGCGAGCGCATAACGGGGGGTGCCGGTGGCGCGGGGTCCCCGACCGTGCGTCCGTCGCCTCCGCCCCCCCCCGGTCGTCTCCTGGCCCCCGCCCCCCCCTCCTCCTCCTCCACCCCGCTCCCGCCTGAGCGCCCGTTCCGTTGCAGGCGGGCGGAGAGGGATCCGCGTGCGGACCAGCTCCGAAGGGAGGCCGGGGCCCATCCCTTCTGCTTTCGTCAGCTGCGTTGGCTCGGGCACTCGGTGGCGGAAGTGGCCCGCGGGTCGCGTCGTGTCTCGTTGGCGCCGCCCGCCTCTGCCCGAGTCGGTTCTGTCTCAGGGTCAGGACTGCCTCGCTCCCTGCTGCTGCTGCCTGCTGGTTCGCCTCTGTCTTCTCCCTTCTTTTCTGGCGCCGGAGGAGGAGGGGGGGGAGGTGGAGGAGGAGGAGGAGGAAGAGGAGGAGGAGGAGGATGAAGAGGAAGAGGGGGAGGGGGAGGAGGAGGAGGAAGACGAGGGGCCACGAACCGTGTGAAACATGCGCTAAAACAAAAAAATCCGATGCTCTGCCTGCTCGAAAAAAGCATGCAACTTCAAATCCAATCGGCCCCCATGGCCCTGCCGCACGTTCCTGACTCGGGAACGGCTGAGAAAGTGAGAATCCCATGGCCCTGCCACGCGTTCGTGACTTGGCAAAACTGAAACGGTGAGAATCCCATAAGCCTGCTACACGCTCGTGATTGCGGAAGCTGAAATTGTGAGACCACCATTGCCACGCTCAACGTTTTTGATGCTGTTGCTAACCAACATGAGACGATAGCAACTTCGATTCGCACCGACCCGCGGGGATCGTCGAGTTCAGTCTCCGCGCGCCTCTCCACAATAAAATCCGATTGACACTGAAAAACAAAGTAGAAGGGACAAAGGAGTGAATTATTATCGGTGGCGCTCGGTTATATAAATTACCTATACGACCACCCTTCGGCTGATAAGGAGGTTCGGGGCGAGGAACCAACGTGCACTCGATCGGTCTCACTATCGATCTCACTATCGATATCACGATCGGTCTCGCTCGATCGATATCACTCGATCGGTCTCACAATCGACATCACTCGAAATACTCCATTCGATCGATCTCGCAATCGATATGACAATCGATATCACAATCGGTCTCACTATCGATCTCACTAGCGATCTCACAATCGATCTCACATTCGGTCTCACTATCGATCTCACTATCGATATCACAATCGATCTCACAGTAAATGTCATCAGCATCAACAACAACATCGCCATCAGCGTCATCCACATCATCATCATCGGGACACCATCATCATCAGCACCACCTCATCACCAGCATCACCAACATCGTCATCATTGGGACACCATCATCAAAATTATCATCATCACCA